TCAGTAAGTTAGGAAGACTACGTTCAAAGACTCTCAGAAAAAAATTCTAAACGTCTTCATAATTTAATTTTGTTAAAGATAATGTATATAAATGATTATATGAAACACGCTGGACATGAACGAACCACAATGTATATTAATTATTATATGCAAACCAATTAAAACATAAATACAACAAAAAAACTGATACCAAACAAATGAAAAAAGATCACCTAAGGTGCGCCTGATACAGGCCATGGATTTTGCAATCACTTGTTATGCATCAGAGAGTTGGACAATGACTAGGGAGGATAGAAGGAGAATTGACGCCTTTGAGCTGTGGTGCTGGAGAAGAGTACTGAATGTACCATGGACTGCCAAGAAAACAAATAGATTTATCCTAGAGAGGGTTAAACCAGGCTGCTCCTTGGAGGCAAGGATTCTGGGGTTTCGTCTGACATACTTTGGACATGTTGTAAGGAGAGACAGGTCTTTGGAGAGGGACATCATGCTGGGCACAGTGGAGGGACAGCGCAGGAGGGGAAGATCCTCTATGAGGTGGATTGATTCAGTGACTGGGGTAATCTCGATGGGTGTGTCAGAGGCAATGAGATTGGCACAGGATAGAGCACGGTTTAGGGCTGTTGTACATAGGGTTGCTATGAGTCCCAAACGACTCGACGGCACATAACAACAACAACAACAAGAACTGTTCTTCAGAGATGAAAATAAAAAGAAGCAGCAAAGAATGACATTTATTCTACATACATTGGTTTCTACACAAAAGGTCGCTGCACTTTCCTGTCCCAGGCCCACACTGCACTCTGCTGTCCCAGGCCCACAAGCTGTGAACAACTAGACTTTATCCTACCACCAAAATCTGCACTTTCACTGCCCTAAAGTTCTGAAATTGTGAATGCAGACACCTATATGGGAGAAAATGGATAAGATTGATTCAGTAAGATATTGTTATTGTTGTATACCATAGAGTCTGAAGTGACCAATAGCTGACCCCCTGGTGGGTTTTCAGAGGCTTAAGTAATTGCACAGGAGGAAATTGTCCATTCTTTTCCCATGGAGCAGCTCGTGGCCTCAAACCACATGTCTTTGGGATTATAGAGCAGCTTCTTGCCACTAGGCCACCAGAGATTAAACCATGATAAAAACCTCTTTCCATTGAGTTGATTTCAACTCATTGTGACCCAGAGGACAGAGGACGACAGCCCTATAAGCTTAGCAAGGCTGTACATCTTTACAGACTGGAAGAAACGGCTACACCTTTCTCCCACAGAGCCATGCTGGTGGGTTCAAACTGTTTATGATTCAATTAGCAGCTGAGTGTTTAACTAAGGCACCATTAAGGTTTACTTAATTATGTCCATTTACTGACAAATTATAAATCATTTGGAATAAAGGAGAATAATGGCTAGAGGATTTTTTTTTTCATTACTGTCATCACAAAGAAACCTTCAAAATTTGGCTAAATGGGTTGGAATGCCTTTACATAACAACAAGTGAGGTTCCTGGGTTTTTTCCTATGTTACTAGGTGCTTTTGAGTTGACTGCAATTCACTTCTATCCTGTGTAGAGCAGAATGAAACCCTATCCAATCCCACATGCACTATGCTTACAATCTCTGCTGGGCTTAAGCCTACTGTTGCCATCATTGCATGAATCCATATCATTGATGGTCTTCTCTTTTTCACTAATCCTCCACTTTTCCAAGTGTGAGGTCCTTCTTCAGGGCCCAGCCCCTCTTGACAATATGCCCAAAGTATGGGAAATGAAATCTCACCAACCTTTCTTCTAAGGAGCATGCTGGCTACACTTCTTCCAAGATAGATTTGCTTGTTCTTTTGATTGTTGTTAAGTACTGGAGAGGTGAATACACTCATAGTGACCCTGTGAACACTGTCCTATCCTGTGCCATCCTCACAATCTCTGACACACTCAAGCCCATTACTGCAGTCACCGTGTCAACTCACCTGGTCGAGGGCTTTCCTCTCCTTCACTGTCCTCCATCTTTCCAAGCATGATGTCCTTCTCCAAGGAATAATCTCTTCTAGCAACACGCCCAAAGTATGTGAGACAAAGATTCATCATCTTTGCCTCCTAAGAGCACTCTGGCTGCAATCTCTCCAAGACATATCTGTTTGTTCTTTTGGAAATCCATGGGATTTTTCAGTACTGTTCTCCAATACCACAGTTCAAAGGCATCAGTTATTCTTCTGTCATCCTTATTCACCATCCAGTTCTCAAAGGTATAGCAAGTGACTGAAAAAGACCATGCTCTGAATCAGGCACACCTTAGTCTTCAAACTGATATCATTGCTCCTCAATAATTTGCACAGGTCCCTAAGTGCAACATTTCTCCTGATTTCCTGACTGTTGGTACCAAGTATATTGATTGTGGATCCACATAAGATGGCATCATTGACAGTCTCAATCTTTTCTCCATCTATCATGATGTTGCCTATTGGCTCAGTGGTGAGGATTTTTGTTTTCTTGACATTGAGATGCAATTCCTGTTGAAGGATGCAGGGTTTAACCTTCTGTAGCAAGTACTTTTGGTAGTCTGTCATATTCATTATTCTTCACCAACATAATAATTTGAAGGCATCAGTTCTTCCATTTTCTTTATTCACTGTGTAACTTTCAAAGGGACATGAAGCATTTGAAAATATAATCTAAGTCAGGTACATTTTAGTCTATAAAGTGATGCTCTTGTTCTTGCACATTTTTCAGTGTCCATTATTTTAATCAGATTAGAAATCTCTTAAAAAGGCCCTGAGACAAAATGTTTATGACCTTGTCTGTCAACATAAATGTAGATATGGGTATTTTAGATGTCTCCATAACACCTAAATAAAACGCACTCACACACACACACACACACACACACACACTCACACACACACCCTCTAAGTGGTTCATACCTGGTTACACATTAAAACCATCTTTGACAGGAGCCCTGGTGGCCTAGTGGCAAGGAGCTGCACTGCAACTCTAAAGGCACACAGTTCGAATCCACCTGATGCTCTGGCTGGAGAAGGATGGGAAATCTCCTCCTGTGCCAGTTGGATCCAACTCGATTGTACACAATAAAGGGGGCTAGAAAGGGGGGGGGAACAAACAAACAAAAATAGCAAACAACCTATATGTGACTGTAAATGTACTGATGTCCAGACTACAGGGAAGAGCAACTAAAGCAGGCTCTCTGGGGATGCAACCAGGTCTCCAGAGTTTTTACAGCTCCCCTGGTGACTCCAGTGTGCTACCCAGGCTGAGAATCATTGGCCTGTTCAGTCGTGATCCCTCACTAACAAGCCCGAGCACCACCTCAGAGTGCGCTGGTAATGCACCTAGCCCACTCAATCAGACCTGCAATTTATAAAGATTCCCAGGTGATTTGTGTTCACATTAAAGTGTGGAGAGCATCTCTCTATACTTAATGGCTGTAAGTTCCTCCAGAGAAACAGAAAGGTCCTACCAGAGCTTCTACTCCTTCTTCTTCAACAATGAATCCAAGAGGACAGGTTCATCATAGTGAAAGTGAGCATCAACATGTGGGGGTGAAGAAAACTTTCTGGTAATTCTGAATCTCTTGACTTAGAAAAACCTTTTCTAGCTCATCCTCAATACAACGTTTAAAAGTGGAGCGCACCTGTTTTCCTCACACATTGACTCTGTTTCAGCTTTGATTCACCTACCTGCCCTCAAAAAAGCATCCTTTCTAAGGATGAGTGAGTGAGAGGTACCGTTAAGTCTTAGCTGACTCACAGCTGAACCTCACAGCAGGTTTTCAGAGGCAGTAAGTCACATCGGAATGACCTGCCCACCTTTCTCCTCAGAACAGGGGGTGGATTTGAACCATGTGCCTTTGGGTTGGAAACCCAGCTCCTTCCCATTTGACCACCAAAGCTCCCTAATGAATGAGCATACTATTTACTAATAATCTTATAAATTACCACTTCTTTTCCAAAGAATGCCAGTTAATAAGAATGACATCTATGAGGCTCATTTCTAGAGCACCAGTAGGCAGCATGGTCTGTAGGGCATTTGCGCAGCTAACGACCGGGCTGCACTGCTCTGCCAATGTGAATCCACCATTGAGTCCCATGGAGAAAGGTTGGCAATCTCCTCCAGTGCAATTTATAGCCCCTGAACCTAATGGAGGGTCACTATGGTTCAGAATCCACTTGACAGCAGTGGGGAACATGAACATGTATCCCCATATTTAATCCTCTTAATAGCACTGATGGTCTAGTGGTAAGGGGTTGCCTTGCCAACCCAAAGGCAATTTGAATCCACCAGTTGTTCCAAGAGAAAAAAGATGGGCGTTCTCTTTAAAAGTATTTTACAGCCTCTGAAAACTCACTGGAGGGTGAGCCATGAGCTGGCTGCAACTCAATGGCAAAGAGTTTGAGCTTAAAAACTTTGTAAGGTAGATGCTGTTTTACTTGAAGAAAGTTGGGCCTCTCAGGTCAATAGTTAGCTCAAGGTCACAAACTTACTGAGTATAAGGAAAACAAAGATTCAAATTCAGGTCTGTTCCAGCTCTGGCATGCTCTTTATGTTTTCTTCCTGAATGAAATAATCCAACAAGGCAAAACTTAGTGAGTACCTGTACATTTCAGACAAGAAAAGAATTTCTCCTTGGTCATTATCAGAACCGATAAAGGGAGCAGTCAAGGGCACCCCAAAAGGTAGAGGAGTGGCAGGAAACATGTGGCTACCAGCCTGGGTTTGCTCAGAGAGACAAAGTAGAAGGGCACCTGATAAAAAGAGAACCTTCCAGTGTTAACAGTGCGCACACGATCCCCCCTGTTTGGAAAGGCGATAGCTGAGGGCGGACGAGAACACCTCTCCGGTGCTTTCCCTGGACTCTAAATACCCACAATTCCTTTGACCTCTAAAGAAGGAGACTATAAGACCGAAAGGAAGGGATTTTCTTTTCTCAATCTGCGGCACAAAGAGACTCCCATTCTTCAAAAGGGGGAAAGTTTGTGAAATAAGGGACAATGGCTGCTTTGCAAGAAAAAAAGACCTGCAGCCAGAGGATGGAAGAATTCCAGCGGTACTGCTGGAACCCGGACACGGGCCAGATGCTGGGACGCACTCTGTCTAGGTGGGGTACGTGCTGATTGTCCGGCGGGGGGTGGTGAGGGTACTGTGAAACTGTCCCCCAGTGGGCTCCAGGCCTGGGGACTGAGGGTGTGATGCCAGAAGGGAGAAGGGACAGGGCTGTGCTGAGACACATCCAATGAAGGTTCTGGAACAAATGAAATCAGGAACGAAAGATCAAGTTCTTAGGAAAAGTTTGAAGCCTGGGTTCACACATACAGGTATACAAATGCCAAAGTTCTGCCACCAGCTGTGTGACTTCAGGCATGACCTTACCACCTGGGCTCCGTTTTCAAGGGAAGGTTAATAAAAGGGGTTTAATCTGATTATTTGGCATATAAAAACAATAATATACTATGACAGTTTTGGAAGCAGGAGTGGCATCCACTTCCTAAATAACATGCCTCTGGGAACCCTATGAACTTTGATAAATGTCAATAGTTGTAGAGGGGCTTTAAGCCTTTTGTGCATAGGGTCGCTATGAGTGGTGTTTGACTTGAAGGCAATCAAGAACACAACAATCTTATTATTGATTATTAGGGCGCTCTGGTGGCTTTGTGGTAAGGTGTTGAGCTGCCAACACAAAGGCACACAGTTCAAATCCACAAGCTGCTCTTACTACCTTTGAACACTCATTGCAGAGTCAGCTGTGAGTCGGTTCTGACTCAACAATACACACCACCAATCTGATATCTCACAGCTCCATTTCCATTCCAATATGCAGCTTGTGAGACTTCAGAGAACCAGCCTCTGCCTCCAAATGTCCAGCCTAGTATGTGAGATCAGCCTGTCCAATGCCATGTTTCAAGCAGATAATCCTGTTTAAGTAGAATTTTGTAAGAGGTCATGGTGGTTCTTTGGTCAAATAGATTTGGGACATGAGGATTTATTGACTTAAGATGATAAACAAGTTGCTTTATTTCCAGGCTTCCCCAGGCTCTTAACATGCTAACGTGTACCACTGTCTGTGAGTTGCCCAAACCTGTTTGGCATAGGATCCCTTTCTTTCAAGGGTTGTTGCTGGGTGCCATGGTGTTGATTCAGACTCGTAATGACTCACGTGACAGAGCAGAGCTCCTCATGGAGTCTGCTAGGCAGTGATCAGTAGGGAAGTGGATTGCCAGGTCTCTCCACTGCAGAGCCTCTGTGAAGGTTCAAACCCCCAAACTCTCGGTTATCAACTAACTGCTTAACCGTTTGCACCACCAGGATCATTCTTTTAAGGGTGCACCTCTTCAACAATGTTCATTAGTGTTCTGCAGTCGGCTGAGGAGACACAGGTCCCACAGGCAGGCCGGAGCTGGCCTAGCTCCCTCATCCTTGCACAGGGAGGAAGGAAGTCACCGAGGTCTCTTCTTCCTTCAGTTCAAAGTACAAGTAAAGACCTTCTCATAGAGCATTTCATGAGAAGGGACAGCACTTGAGAGCTGTTCACAGGCTTAGCTTTTTAGGTATTATTACAAGAGCAGAGATTTCCTTATTAAGGCAAGTCTCTAAAGAACAAAAGGTACCTCTGAATCATCACCTACCGTGTATGCCTCATTGACAAAAATAAAATAAAATAAAATAATTTTTTTTTAAATCTCTCTTCCAGCCATCCTAAGCCTGACAATGGAATGAGTTCTCTACCCCAATTTAATTTTAGGAAAGATGTTACTAGGACAAAAATTACCCAGACAACTCTTTGCTTTTGGTCTAAAAACATACTGACGGGAGGGGGACAGAAATGAAATTTCTGTCCTCTGGTCACCTGGTTGGTAGGGAAAGGTACTGAGAAGACCTCGCTTCTGTAGCGGTTTGAGTGTCCCAGTGGCCTCACACCATGGGGACTGGCAGTCTCTGCTCATGTGACTTAGAGCCGTGGAAACCCACTGAACCCAACGGGGGCAGCTGTGAGTTGGCTCTGCCTCCACAACAGTTGGGGTGTGGTGGGGTTTGGGTTTTTGTTTGTTTGTTTTGGAAGATTATTTTTTTTCATTTAAAATGAAACAATAGTTGGGAGGGAGTTTCCCTTTTTAAAAATGAAGCATGATTTAAAGATTATTTCCTTCTCCCACACACCCTACAGTAATGCCGTTTGACTACCAGCCTAAAGGTTGGCAGTTCAAACCCAGCAGAAGAAAGTCTGTCGCTCTACTTCTGTAAAGTTTACAGCTAAGAAAAACCCATGGTGCAGGGCTCCTCTCCTCTGTGATCGCCAAGAGTTGGAATGGACTTGAATTGTTTGCAGTGTTTTAAAAAATGAAAAATGTGATACTGGTTTATTGCCAATAAAGTGAGACCTTGCACAAGCCATGTGAGCAAGGAACTTAAGAGGCAAAAGGCAAGAGAACAAGTAAAGCTTTTTGCTCTCTTACGCAGCATCTTTCAGGAAACAATAACAAACCTTAAATTCAGAATTACAGGAAAAGAGTGAAAGCGAACACAGAAATTCATCTAATGTGGCCAGTGTAAGGTGGTGTCTCCATTCTCTTTTCTGGAAACAGTTCTATCAGCACTGTCCATCTTGAATTATTTTAATATCATTACTCCTGTTCCTGGTGTTCATGCACAGGGTATATATACTCTTCGGGGTTTGTGGCTATGCTGCTCCCACACAATTAAACAAGGTTTAAGTCCCTTGGACATCTGGTAATTTATACTGGCCATGGTCTGGTGTTATATATTCTTAGGCTTAACAAGCTGTGAGTTAAAAGAGTTGTTATGAAGTGTATTAGAAGGGTTAGCAGGCTATAATTTAGGTTGGGAGCAGGACGCAAGCCCTCGGTGCAGACAGCTTCTCCAACCTGGTATCAGGCCTTTTGACCATTAGGTCAGTGTTACAAGGTTCTCTTAGTCCTGCCAGTTATGGTGTCACCCCACGGTCCTACTGCAAGCTTGGGGAAGGCCTCTGGCTCTGTTTCTATGGGGCAGTAGTCCCAAGGTCAATTCTGTCTCACATTGGGTCTCTGGTTCTCTGCTGCTCCTACAGGCTCCAGTGTGGCTGGCACAGGAGTCTCTGGCCCGGAAGGATGTGCACTGCTTCCTCTTCTTTGTTGGTGTTGAGATTCCCTGAATTGTTTGCTTTTTTGAGGGTTTTTGTTCATCTCATAGAAAATGTCAGGTTTCCAGGCCCAGCGCTATCGCCTGGCCCATGCCCTCTCTCACTCCCTGTAAGATCATGCTACTCAGTATAGTGCAGGTGGGGCAACAAGTTCAAACCAAGGGCCTGCTGAGGCAGAGGCTGCGTGTTGTGAGCTGTGTGGCAATGCTTGTGGACGATATAGTTCGAGAAGCACTACCCCAGGGCACTGTTCCTATCTATGTAGTTTGAAAGGGGTGAGAAAGAAAGAAAGAAAGTATAACCTTATTTCAACTACACCAGATCTTAGACAAAGCTGTATTCACATCCTGGAGCTCGTGGCCATTTGAAGAACACCTCCGGAGGCAATTCAATGGAGTCCAACCCCACAGCAATTTGCCGAGTACATACTGTAAACAAGGAGTCTCTGGGTAGTGCAAGCAGTTAAATGCTTGGCTTCTAACCAAAAGGTTGGCAGTGTGAATCTACACAGAGGTGCTGCCAAAGAAAGGTGTGGTGATCTGCTGGGGCAAAGTGTGTGTCTGACAATTAATAGCCTGGAAAAGCACCACAAAGGGAATTAGGGGGAGGGAAATAGGGAGGAAAGTATGCAGGAATAAATGAATGAAACCAATCTGTTCATAAATGTCCACTAGAAGTTTTTAAAAGGCCTGTAAAAACAAAACCCTTGTGGATCATAGTTCTCCTCTGATACAGGGACACCATAAATTAGAATGTGTGTGTGTGTGTGTGTGTGTGTGTGTGTGTGTGTGTGTGTGTGTACAAAACAGAAACTTTTAGTGTTAAAAGTGTTATAGAACCTCTTTCGTACAGCTCTAAAATCTAGTCAACAACAACAACAACATAATTCATTTCTGTGGAGTCTGACTAGTTGGAATTAGCAAGTTTCCAAAGCTATAAATTGCACAGGAGGGGGCTGCCCATCTCTCTCCCCTGAAGCAACTGGTGGATTTGAACTGACGGGGAAGCACTGTTTTGGGTTAGCAGCATTAGACCCTATAGAGCACAACAGTAAAGGAGACAAAAAAAAATCTCACTGCTGTCGAATCAAGTCTAACTCACAGCAACCATCAGGTTTCTGATGCTCGGCATCTTTACTGGAGGACACTGCCTCGTTTTCTCCCTTGGATTTGAACTGCCAACCTTTCAGTTAGCAGCCAGATTCATAACACACGGCACTAACAGGGTTCCTTAAAAGCCACAACACATATACCTGAATAACTAGTGCACCTTCAGAGATAATAAATGCTAAAAGAGAAATGGGAGCTCTGATGGCTCAGTGGTCACCAACAGAAATACAGAAGACAGGCAATTTTATTTGTTTGGAAGACAAGTAGTAAAACAATCAGAACAGCCTGCCAAAGTAAACAGGAGTCTGGAAGGCATTCTGGTAGGCAGAGAATGCGTGGTAGTGGGGAAGGGAGAGGACATTCATGGATAGAGAAGACGGTCTGTGCCGGGAGGCTGCGTCAGACTTAGCTGATTCCCATGCTGGGCAGGTCACTTGGTAAATGGCAATGAATAAAGGGTTCTGAGGGGTAAGTCCGAGTTCGAAGGAGCTGTATTGCCAGAGGAGCTACAGCCACACCCATTCAAAGGGTCTCCGGGCTGCCATGCCTCACAGAACATACTGGAACGGTTTCCACACAACATGTGGCTACTGTGTTTGAGGGGCACAGCAAGAGTCAAGGAAAGCCTAAGTCAAATAAAATTATAAAAGGATGGAGGAAGACCTTTTTACAAAACAGTTGGAACACCACGTGGTGGTGCTCTGAAAAGGACCCTGTTAATTATTGTCAAGGTCATTACTTGGGAGGTTACAGTTCCTCATCCTCTTAATGAAATGAAGTTTACTTGATGTTTTATGCAATTTGAGGGAGGAAGTGTTTTTGTTACAAAAGGTTGTATAAAAAAAAAAAACAAAACC